CGTCTGTCATGGTCTTAAAGCTTGTCAGATGATCGAGCAAATCATATGTAGGCATTTGTTTCTGGTTTTTGGAGAATGAGAATGCTATAGAGTAGGTTAGATAATAATCTCGCTGAAGCTAACATGAAACCTAGAACCCATTAGTCACCTGTTGAGCATCACTTTTACTTACTCTTTGACATGAACTAAGACTACTCCAGTCAACTGCATGCAGCTGGTGGTTTAGGTCATGGTGTGGCTCATGCTGTCTTCTTTTGTTTGAGCCTCTTAACACCGGCATTTGGTCCAGCCACATTCTATGTCGACAGATGTTCGAAGGTGCCATTTTTTCTCGTCTCTGGTGAGTCAACTGAACCCAAGCTTTGTTTTTATACAACATAGATTATTAGCTTTTGTGTGACTTTTTGATTGAGTCGCTGGTGGTTTGATTTTTCTCTGGTAGACTAGTACTCATGTTGTGGTTTAACTACCATGTCTTACAGCAATCATTGCTCTTGCATTTGTCACGATCCACACATTCTCGATGGTCATTGCTTTCGAAGGGTATGCAATAGGGAACAAAGTAGATCAAGTAATAGTTCCAGTCATACACCTTGCCGCTGGAATGTTGGTAAGATCTCAGATTTTCAACTTCACCGCTATTGTCTATATACTTTGCCGATTAGGATAAGGCTAAACCATTTTTTTGGTTATTCTAAACGTAATCTTTTGTTTTTTTTGGTCCTTACCAGACATTGGTGAATTTTGCATCGGAAGGTTGTGTAATCGGCGTTCCTCTTCTTTACGTTCTGGCATCTTTGACTCTTGTGCATTGTGGAAAAATGGTTTGGCAAAGGTTGATAGAAAGCCGGAACCAAAGCAGCCCTTCACTGTAATCTGGCCTCAACTCTCAGGTTTTCTCAGGTCTCCTCTAAAAAACTTCTAACACTAGAACGTTGTTTAACATCCTTCGGTCTCCTGACTTGGTTTTTGCTTGCAACTCTCATTCGGGTTTATCCCCTAATCGCGTCAAACCTTAAATGTCATGTTCTTTCTTTTTTTTCCCGCAATTATGATCCTAAGTTATAAAAAACTTTGAGAAAGTTTTATTCATTGAACCAATAAATCTCAATGAATAAAATTTTTTAAAAGCTTCTCAATGAATATGTATAACATTAAAAATATATTCTGGTATAATTAGGGAGAAAGCTTCTTGATAATAACAAGACTAATAAGATATAGTTTGTTAAGATTATGGTTATAGAAAGTGACAAGGGATTGTTGTCTCGGAGCATTCTTTACCCATTCGTCTTCGCATTGGTGCACAGCTGCGACGCCACTTTGTGACCCTATAGACATTTCCATACGATTCGTAAGCGAATTTTTCCGTCCAGCTTCCCAAGCCTTTTGAAAATTTGTGGCCGCAAGCTTGTATTTTGTCTCACAAATATCGATTCGTTTCTTCCCAATTGGACCATTGAAATTTTTGCGGACTTTGTTGATTTGGGTGATTGCATTGGTCACTTGGATTTTGGCCTGAGACATCTGTTTACAAGTCTCAATTAAGGATCGAAAATAGTATCATTTTATAGAGTTTTGTCTTGGTATTACAAACTAATTATCTAACGTAACCGCGATTAAAAACACGTCGTTGAGGTTGTGGGCGGCTGCTATTTGTGGGTCTTTCCCAATGTTATTTAGGCAGAAGTTCATGTCAGGTGTCTCTTTACAAAAAGATTGTACGTCTTTTATCGGCATTGCGTTTGCGGTTGGAAACGCAAGCAATACGGATAGTAACAACGATGAAAGAAACTTTGTTGTTAGTACTGTGGCCATATTGAGAAACAAAAGGTGTTTGTTTTGTGTACTTCAAACATTTAAATTTATATTGAAAGCTAAAAATGGTAAGAATAATAACTGGATGAGATTCTTGAAGTCTTTTACATGGTAGCACAT